AAAAAAAGGTCTTTTACGTTGCAGTTAGTTAAAAGCTGCGCTTTAGAGTTCCATGTATGTGTAATGCCAGTTCTAAGATCTTGAGGAACATCTACCTGGTTATTCTTGACATCCTGTTTGTTTAACTGGTAAAATTACTGTATTAGCTGCTAAACACAACTATATTGATCGATATATTTGTATTCTTCTGACTGAAACTCAAATTACATATAAATGAACAGAGCTGAGCAGATTTAAAAGAAAAAATAGGATAAAAGAAATACCTTTTCACTATGATGGCGTCTCAGCTCATCACAGAGGCTGTTCAGGTATGGTTTTTAAAAGGATCTAAAATGGAATAGATACTAACTTTGATAGCAGAATTATTTAAAGCATGTTTGGAAGGGTTATTAAAATAGAAAACTGGGGTTTTAATTATTACAGATTAGGACACGACTTTGCATAGGGTCTAAGCAGATGCAAAAACACTCTGCTCTGAAGCTCTTTCACTCTGASGTGGTTGGTGCTAATTGCTGTCATGAATGAAATATCAGGCTGAACAGATACCCATTTCCTGAAAGAAAAGGATGATGTTCCAGGTGAACATTCCTTTCTCAGGTACTCTTCATGTCCTAGCTGAAAGTGCCAACGCAGCACTACTTTAGCCTAACCGTAACAAGCGTATTTTAAGTACTGGGARTAAGAGTAGGAGTGTACCCTATGGAATATGATCTTCTATAGCAATTTCTATATTTCAGGATACCTCAATGTTATCCAATTCTGCTGGTATATAAAGGCAGAAAAAAAAATGTATGTGGTTATTAAAATCAATTACAGATGATGTGGAGGAAGAAGTTGGTGTTAATCTAAGACAAATGCCTGCATAAAATAATTTATCTTGGATTTTTAAAAATTAGTTGAATTGGAATTCTTTACTTAAGTTTTCAGGAGAAAGCAATATAGCCTCATTGCAGTTATTTTTAAAGAGTTATTCTTAAAGAGCATGTTGAAAAATTTTGCATGAGTTTTGTTTCAAAATACTGTTGTTGCTTCCAGGCTAATGTGGAACACTTGACTGAAAAAATGAAGACCAGTATTCAGCGTGGTCTAGTGCTGAGGTAAGCAAGTGTAGGTTTAAGAGATTGCAAAAGTGATGCTGAGCTTTTCCAGGCAGGTGAGCTGTGTGTACCTTAGCATAAGATTATTTGAGAAGCTGTTGCTCAAGAAGACAAGCCCGGGAGCTGTGTGGAATCTGAAGTCCAAAAACTTCCTTCTATGTGTGTACTCCAGTAGTAGWTCTTTTTCATGCCTGTTTTCTCATAGACTTTGTCTTTACCATTGCTACTTTGCTTAAGGTAGTGTAAAGCAATGCATATGCATTCATAGACCATTAGCCCTTATAATAAATCTACTTGTATTTTGCCAGATATCGCAGGATAAGACACGTTTCAAAGAAATGAGGACCTTTAAAACATGTAGATTAGCATGCTTTTAATTGTACATTTTCCTCGGGCASTCTGAATAAGTCTGCTGCTTCACACTGCCTTTCATGAGCATTATTTTCATTCTGCTAAGTAGTGCACTGATGAAAAATGAAATACACATGGAATTTTATGAAGAATTTATTATGTATGTTCAGATCCTGGTAGCTTTTCACAGGGCTGAGAAATTGAGAGCATCTATCCAATTATGTGATTAGGTGAAGAAAAAAATCTGACAAGAGACAGCAGAAGGAACTATTTATTATGCCCATTTACTATTTATTATGCGCATTTTATAAAGAACAGAGCAATGACGCTGGATGAATATAACTTCTGGTTTTATACACTTTTCCCTCTACATATTGTCCTTGTAAGATGTAAAATGGTATTTTTCACCACCTTGTACACCAGTGGTTCCAGCTGACCTGCCAGTAATGTCTTTGTAGTAAAAGTAATACATGTTTGAAAAGTGTGAACRTGTTACATAAAAACAAACCTGTGTGATAAGGTAAGAGAACCGGTATCAAGAAAATGGGAAAATGTTTACTGTAGTAGCTGTAAATGAATTCACTACTTTAGTTTAACTGTATCTGCTCTGCATTTTTACAGAAATGAGAACTCCAATGAGAATTATACAACTGACTTCATTTATCAACTGTATTCTGAAGAAGGAAAAGGAGTTTTTGACTGTCGGAAAAATGTATTGGGCCACATGCAGCAGGTAAAAATGACCTTAGAATTCCAGACAAGCTTGGCTCAGTGTGCACAAAAACCACACACACTCGATATGAAAAAAGAAATAAGTAATGTGGATTTTTGTTTGTAGGAACTCACAGCTATTTGGTCTCATTACATTATATTGCAATTCCTTTTAAAAAAAAAAAAAAAAAAAAAAAAAGCCCTCTTAGATTCTTCATGATTGTCAGTTTTTTTTCTTCCCCCTCTATATATTAATAAGCAGTGAGACTTTCTTAATAAATGCTACAGCTATTTTATAATAGTGATAATAATAATGCATTCATAGTGTACATTACAGATGGCCAGATAGGTGTATCTAGCTTGTGAATGCTGGAAGAGATGAAATTTGGTTAATAAAATACATGCAGATGGATTGCAGATAGTAGAAGAGAGAAGTTACCTTATTAGTTTCATCATGATCCTTGCCGTTCTAAAAACTTCTGCTTGTGATCTTTGTACCCACCCTYTCTCTGTCTCACTATGTTAATGGGCAGGCAGTGAATTTCTGATTTGATTACATTAACCACTAAAACAAGTGGAGTCTGGAGTACATGCTGAGCCAAATTTCTTAAGTGCTAGGAGAAAAAATAACCTCAAATTCAGTGTATATTCCACTTATTTATTTTTATTCAACACAAAAATTGGCATTTTCTGTTTAAAATGAAGTTACTTTAATGGTCAAGACTATCCTTGTTTCAACAGTTTTCTGCTTAAAACTATGGCGTACTGTGTGGTACTGTGTCACATACTGTTTCAGTCCAAGCTGCTACAAAGAAAATGGAACACAAAAGTCACTTYATATGAGCTTTGTAAAGGCTCTGCTCTAATACTTAGACGACAACTAACGTAAAGGAGTGTAATTACCAGCCCTAAGAAGTCCTAGTCTGGCTGCAGCAGTTTGAGTTCCTATACAGCATTCCAGCCTTCCTCATTCCAGCTGCAGGAAGAGTGGCACTTCCCAGACTTCCTAGGTGGCATTCCCATTTCTCGTGCTCCTTCTGGGGCCGTTTCCTYGAGGAGTTTCCTGCACTGCTGAGACGAGGCAGGGAAGGGCACTGCCTCCTGYTTCCCCAAGTGCAAAGTCCACTATTGAGTCTATGAGAATCCCAAGAGCACTTAAATCTTTTTAACATCGTTTTGGTTGTAGGGATTTCCTGCACTTCCCTCCCACCCCTTATTCTTTTTTAAGTGGCAGAGAGAGAACTAAGAGCTCAAAGATGACTCATAAAAGAAAGACATGGATACTAACCSCTACTTTTATATTTACACAGGGTGGTGCACCATCACCGTTCGATAGAAACTTTGGGACAAAAATTTCTGCTAAAGCTATGCAGTGGATCTCCAAAAAGCTGAAAGAAACATACCGAAAAGGTACAGAAATATTTGTYGCTATCTTTTGTTAGTCTTTSGTTAGCTGTCACTACGTAAGCCTACGCTAATGTATATAAGACTCTATGACTACATAAAATACATGATTTTCTTAGTCAACCTGCTTTTTTCCATCTTTGTCATGTTTATATTATTCTTGGTGTGTGTGATGTATCTTGCTGTGCTTCCAGGTGTAAGAAAATTTATTCTCAAGCAAGATTGATGGTCTATATAGCTGTTGTCTTACCACCTTTTATTTTTCAATATAATGCTAGTGTAATTGCAGTTTTTCATGCATGCAGGAATTGATGGTTATATAGTTACATCTGTTCTTCCTTTTTGTTTCATGGTGGCTACATGGGAGACAGAAGAAGGTAATATGTCTTCTTTGGGAATTTTTGTAAAAGAATTTTGCTTTACTAAAATTTCATTTAAAAGTTCATGTTAAAATTCAGTCTTATTAATTTCACTGCATTTTCACTCTTTAACCACAAAATGAAATTAAGAAAGCGAAGTTGTCCTAACCCTGTTAAAGTACTAATTGTTATTTTACTGTTAAGAATTTTAAGTTCCCTGTTCAGTTTAATTACAAAATGGGACATGTGCCCAAACACAAATGAAGAAAATAGATACTGAATTATTCACTCTTTTTAGGAAAAGTATTTGCCAATACTGATGACTCAGTGTGTTTGCTGGGAATGCGCAGGCGCAACCTTGTCTTCCAACCAGTGGCAGAGCTCAAGAATGAAACTGACTTTGTGTAAGTACATAAGTATATAACGCTCATSCTTTAAACACCTTGGCACAGGCTTCCTTTCACCACATCAAAAGAACCTCTTCTCCACATGCTGACACAGAGCATTTGCTAACCTTTTTATTGCACTTTTCTCTTTGGCCTACATTGAGCTAGTGAGTCACTTGGTTCACTTTGTCCTTCCACCCAACTTCGTGTTTTCTCTTCATTATCCTTAAACTTGAATTCTGGGTGTACCCTTTCCTTCTGGGCAACTCTTGGTTGCTTTTGCTCTAATGCCTAGAACTACAAAAATTCAGTTCAGCAGGACAGATTTCTTGTCTGTAATCACCACCTTGCACTAAACTCCCTTCCTTCAGTTTTCTGTCCTATTTTCTCCCTGTTTTCTCCCAGATATTGATAAGGAAGACCTTTAGTAAGTAGGGTCAGATGAGCTACACAATACAGTGTGCCTCCTGCATAAACCACCTTCTGTCTTTGCACAGACACAGGATCCCCAAGGAGCAGTGGTGGCTGAAGCTGCGACCACTGATGAAAATTCTGGCCAAGTACAAGACCAGCTATGATGTTTCAGACTCGGGCCAGCTGGAGCATGTGGCTATGCACAGCCCCAAGGAAGCAGAAACTGGAGCCATCTAAAGAGATCAGTTTAGATATAAAGTTGTAATAGGTGCACATTGTGAGTAACAATGCTTTAGAATTGTTACAGCTTTGTTTTGTAACATTTAAATTATTGTTCCAGCACTTTAAGTGAAACAAGATGTTCAGATGTCACAGATTTTTGTCCTGTATTTGTGTTAGGTTTAAATTGAACCCTACATCTAATGAATAAGCACCGTTTACCAATATTACCCTTTAACAGTAAGTGCAGCACAGTTCTATGCACTCTGTAAGTCACTCATCTACTGCACTTTGTTTCAGAGTACTTACACACAAAATAAATGTAGAGGGATAGCTTTGTGTTGAGTTACAGGCTGTGTTTATGTTTCTGAAGTGAAATAAAGTATTGTTGCAAACATCATGACGGTTCTCTGTGGCAGATGTGTTCATCTGTTTTCAAATGAGCCAGATAATAATGCAGCATGTAAGAAGCTCACTGCACTCCAGGGAAGGAAAATAATAACTGTTCTTTCTTTCCATAACCATCCAGGAAGTAGAGCAGGGGGGCAGGTTATGTTCTGTTACTTCTTCAGATTAAGGAGTAGCAAATTTGAACCTTCCTTGAATAGAAATGAGGAAGAAAAAATACTCGGGAGAAAAAAAAAAAAAAAAGCTGTAACAGCTTCAGCTTCAAAGGAGATTAACTTGATCCTTGCACTGTTTCATTTGACTCAGCTTCCCCTTTCAAGGGAATTAAAAAGAACTAGCAGAGTGTAGTTATTAGAAATAGGCTAGCAATTTGGCATAAGGAAACCTTTTCTGTTAACTAGACTTTGACAAAAAGCWGTGAGAAAAGCGTATTAAAATAACTCATTTAAATGTTGCACAGGGGAAAACACAAACCCTGCACCCCTGTTCATTAGTGACTTGCCCTTGTCCTGTAATCCACAACAAACTTGAGTTGATGGGAGATGTTCTGTCCCACAACTACACAGAGGAAGTTAGAATCATCATACCCAAAGAATGAATACCAGTCACTGGAGGCTTCATAGTTCTTTACATATYCAAGAGCAGACAATTTCAAACAAACATTATTTCAAACCCTTGAGTTTTACACATACAAAAATATTTAATTTATAGAACTTCCACTGGTGATCAGAGGAGTAAGTCTTCAGTAAAAGATGAAGATTTCTTTGCCATAACAGGGCAGACTATTCTTGCTCCCAAGTACTGTGGTTGGACTTCAAGTTCAGAAACTTCAAGAACAGCTTTGTTGACTTTGCTCTGTGTTTGACCATGTAAGTTGGACCATACCAGGGTTAAAAGCTAAGAAGAAAGTACTTATATAGTCACAACAACTGGGTGATTTTATAATAGCTTGGATGTTCTGCACCCATCTATCGTTTGACCCATGAGGGATCTTTGGTGATATCGGTATTTTCTGGGCCAAGTACAGCCAGACCACGAGTGCTCTTTCCAGGTGCAAGATACCTGCAAGGAGAAACAAATGAGACACTAGTGCTCCATGCCTGTTAAAAATAGTCCCAAAGGAAAGTTCTGTTTGGTAGCTGCTGATTTTTTTTTTGCTTTTACAGCATGTTTTGGATTTGCACTGTTTTATTCCCATTTGACATAATGGGACATATCCCCTTAGCCAGATACTGCCAAGTAGTAGGGTTCCCGAGTAGTTCAGAAGTCTAAAGCAGCACAAAGTGTTAGCTCATACTGCCAGGAACAACAAGTCGTTCTCTGGCTAAGAGGARAAGGACACTTTCTAGTTCATTCAAAAGACAGACACCAGTAAATTTAGGATGTAGCAGGGAGTCATGTCTGCTAAAATGCAATAAAGCCAATAATTAACTTCTCTTTATAGGTTACAAATACTGATTGCATTACAGTGATTATTCTTAGAGGCCAAGGGAAGAAATAAATCAGGACAACTTTTTACAAAGTATTCTGTCTTGCAAATTACTTGAAAAAGTGGAAAAAATACCTGAAGAACAGACTTACTTGTTTGATACATCAACCAGCTTATCACTGTTGACAGCAAAAAGCTGTTCCCTGTGTGACTGCTTCATTTCATCTGAAATGCCATATAAGAAGTGATCCATTCCTTAAAAAGGGGAGAGAGAGAGGAAAAAAAGTATTGTTATACAGGGATCTCACCAATCAACTATCTGGAGGCCAACCAGGGGCCCGGGCACGGGGGGTTGGAATGAAGGAATACAAACTATAATTAGGCCATTGTTCTGACTTGTCACAAAATGTAACTGTAGATCAGGTGCCAACAGCTAGAACTGCATAAGGAAATCTAGTTTATTATGTTTCCTATTTAGGAAAAAAAGAATAAAAAAACTCAGATCTTGAAAACTGATTTGTCAAAGATCTGAACGTAAAAGGAATGAGAATGACTCATTCTAAGAGTCTTGGTATTTTTTCTAACAGTTTCAGTCAATGCAGATTTCATTAAGTTTCTTTTTCTGTTGTGCTTTAAAACAAGAAACTTTTCAAATATGCATTTAGTTGAAAAATACACGAAATGCAAAGGTTATCATCACCTTTTGCTGTACAACATATAGAGATAAGCAAAGAAATGTTTAGTGCTTTTGTTGAAATACTTACCTACAATATTTTAACAGTATAATTAAATTGTAGGTCAACCTCCCAGTCTGAGATCAAGACTAAGTTAAAGTTGTTGAGGAGCTTACACAGGGCCTAGTGATCACACTGAAAGTAGTATCAAGAGACAGATATTTGTCTCTGCAACAATATCCAGGTCTCTCCAGTAATGCCCTTGTCCATGTTTCATTAATTTTCCCTATTAGGGTGTGTGCTCAAATATCAAGGACTTGAATTACTCTCTCATAAATTGTAACATCCAAGAATGCAAGAATTTACTCATATGCACTTAAAGCTGATTAAAATTTTATTTTCGTTACTCAGATCAAAACCAAAACCATATTTCCCTGACATCAAGCTGCAGTGGGGAATGAACATGGGTAAGGGTTTTGATAGGGAACAATAGAAATTGAGGAAACTACTTTTGGGGAGTTTAATATATAAAATAATATTTTTATAATATATTTTTTAATTAATTGTCTATTAAACCTGCCAAGAAGAGACAGAAGAGATGAGCAAAGAAGGAAATTTTCTTCTCTTTAAGCCCTGGCAAACAAAAYATATTCATCAAAAGCACCTGTTCCTGGATACACACATATTCCCGCACTGCAGGACAGACAGGATGTACCTTTGTCCGATGGAGCTATCGGTGCATCCACAGCAGCAAATACTGCTAGTTTAGCTTCATCGATATCTTGCTGGGTGAATTCTCCAGCCTTGGCCCATTCTACTGCTTTTTCAAATGTTTTCAAAGTGGCTAAAGAATTTGGGTCTCTAAAAAGAAGAAAAAGGAAAAGTAAAAATAACCATCCTAGTCTTGTAATTCCTTTATTATTATTATTCGTGTTTCATTTCATTCTGAGTTTGCTATGTGTACATGGGGATCAAAACCAAATAAGAAACTAGTTTTTTTTTCCCCTAATTCTAGATACATAAGTGCAACAAAGCAAGTTCGACAGCCTAAAGCAGTTCCAAGGCAGTGTGTAAAAGATGGTGAAAGAAGGRTAAAACAGCCCTGTTTATCATGTGCTAACAATTCACAACAAGAACTTAGTAGGCATTATTTCCATTACTATCAACAGTAATATTTATCATATACACCATATCTTTTTCTGAGTTGCTTTTCCTGCTACACCTCTTTTTGCTCACTGTAAAACAGGTGCAACAGGTTGACTACTGAAATGCTAACCAGGACAAGTCATACCATGCTAAAGCTTCATTGAGCTGCAAAGCTGCTCAAATATTAGCCAGGAATCCCGCTGTGTTGGGCTACATTTGGTCCAGGGCCTCTTCTACCCAGGAAGAGGCAAGTAAAGGCCAATCTTGCATAAATCAGGTGCCAGGGCAGTTAAAAAATATAAAAAAAAAAAAAAAAAAAAAAAAAAAAAAAAAATAATAATCTAATCCCAAAGGCCCAGTGGTTGCCACCAGCAGAGTTAAGAGCAAAATTAAACCCCTTCTTGTTTTTTATCCTTAGGAAAGTCTATTAGCAAACCTGACATTCCATACCAATTCCTCTTAGCACCATCAGCACTGTTTCACTTTTTGTGATTAACATTCTTTTCTATTTCACTTAATCTTAGAAGAATGTTACAATTAAATTTAAAAAAATAATACTACACACATGTATGTACAGTCAGGGATCACCTATGATATAAACAGGAACTAATGGACCCACCRTTACCTGTAGGAGTAGAAAGTGAAGATGCCATTGGGGCTGAGCTTTGCACCTCCACCGTAAGCCCCTCCTTTCTCTCTGATTTCTCTATGCAGAAATTTGGCCGTCATCAATCGTGCAAGGATTCGAAGGCTGTAAGGGCAGAAATAACAAAGCAAAGCTGTTTAATCAGATGGCAGAAACATTCCCCAGCTTCCCCTAAAGTTTGCAAAAGAAAACACTCAAAATGTATCCCTTCCTGTAATTCACAATAATAATGATAGCATCACTACATCTAATAATAGTTGAATAATGTAATATCACTTTAAGACTAGCACTGCTTTGGAACACTCCTCCTTTGCATTTATTTCACCTCCCTCAACAGAGCTCAGAATCAGCCACCGAAGCTTGGAGGCAACAGCACGTGCTCAGCCTGGGGCCTTCCCTCATGTGTGGCACTACACAACACACACGGCAGTTGCTGCTGACTCCTTCCTACCTTGCATAGTCTGCGGCCGTGTAGGGAACTGTGCGGACACACTCCCCAATGTAGTTGACTGGGAAGGGAAGTACAAAGTGGGTCTTCATCTGGCACGGTTTGAAAGTAGGATCCTAGGAGAAAGGTGCATTATTGCCACAGGCCTTTTGATAACTTGGGCTTCTTAGAGATCTGTGAAATTATGCTGAACACACAACAACAGCTTAAGCTGTTGCTTGGTCAATATTGCAACCAGTGAGGTTTAGCATGTGCCTGTATTGGTAATCCTGCATAAATCAAGTACGAACCTATAATTGTCTTGGGAAACTAAAGTTCATGGATATTGTACATGAGCTATGTATCCTCATTCATGAGCTTCTCAGTTGGGCAGTTCTTGCTATTACCAGACAAATTTTGATTCTCTTGCAAAATCTTTACTTTGAATGAACCGAGTGTTCCTAAACCCCCATTTCTACACCCACAAAGGTACATGGTCACCCCATTATATATGAGATCACTGACTAAATTTTAAAGTTTTGAAACCAAATTCAGAAATCAAAACCTACAAAAACAGCAGAAGATGTTTTATGAATAGCAGCAGCTGTATGAATGTCAGCTCAATCTTCCCCTGCCATATA